TTATATCTTTCCTTCATCTCAAATCAAATTATAAGCAAATGTGATAAAATAATAAATTAAATTCAAAATTTGATAAATGTAACTTGCCACTTTTACCGCATTAATATCACAGGGGCATGGATCGATTTACTTGTAATATTAAACAAGAGGCCCAATGGGCCTGCATCGCTCACCTGGTATAAATCTCACTTTAACAAACATAGTAGTCCTTGATCCCAGCATGCTACTGACTAAATATCAACATCCTGAGCCTTTTGGTTATTCAGAACAAATTGTTTAAATATTTTGAACATATTTGCTCCTTATGACCTTGAATATGGTTCAAGGTCATACATTTAAACAAACTTGGTAGCCCTTGAACCTAGTATGCTACTGACTAAATATCATCACCCTGGGCATTTTGGTCATTGAGAAGAAGTTGTTTAAAGTTTTTAAGATATTTGACCCCCGTGACCTTGCATATGGGTAAAGGTCATTCATTTGAACAAACTTTGTAGCCCTTCATCTCAGCATGCTATTGGCCAAATATCATCACCCTGGGCATTTTGGTTATTGAGAAGAAGATGTTTAAAGTTTTTAACATATTTGACCCCTGTGACCTTGAATATGGGTGAAGGTCATTCATTTGAACAAACTTGGTAGCCCTTCACCCAAGCATGCTACTGGCTAAATATCATCTCCTTGGGCAGTTTGGTTATCGAGAAGAAGATGTTTAAAGTTTTTAACATATTTGACCCCTGTGACCTTGAAAATGGGTGAAGGGCATTAATTTTAACAAACTTTGTAGCCCTTCATCCCAGTTTGCTTCTGGCCAAATATCGACACCCTAGGCCTTTTGGTTATTAAGAAGAAGTCGTTTAAAGTAAAATATTGACACCGGACGACGGACGCCGCGCCACGGCATTGAGCAAAAAATAGGGGTCTCCTATACCAGTGACAGTAGTATACGTCCCTGCCTATACTAATAAATACATTTTTTATTTATTAAATGTATTTATTAGGAGACCCCTATTTTTTAATATTACAAGTAAAGCGATCCATGCCCCTGTGATTATTATTATATTTATTTTAAATTAAATGTTTTATTGGATGCTTCCTCTCTATTTGTATCTTTTACAGCATGAACATATCTTGTTTAATTAATGAAACCGTGTTTTGTGGTTTTTTTTGTTGTTATGTCGATTGCAAAAGCTCACCAAACGAGCTTGTGTTTATCTTTTTAATCATATCGACGTTAAATAAGAATTACTTGACTGACTTGTCAGGTCGTCATTGGAATTGTTCCTTTGCATTTTAGAATTGTTTGCTTTATCTTCATCATAGCCATTTCCTCTGTTATAATGAGAATAACACTAGGTGTCTCAAAAGGGAAGACTTCTTCATCTTCATCCATGTAATTCTATAGGTCACATCCTAGTAGTGTTACGTCCTCAATGAAGAAACCGTTGACAACGTAATTCCGTAACCACATGGTAAACCAATGAGCCCAATCAAAACCATCGCCCATCATATCGCAAACATGATAATGACGAACATAAATAGAAAGCATGATACATTTTGGGAACGGGTATACATGCGACAATAAAACTACTTGTTCAGTGTTAAGATTGTTGATAATCCAGCATGTGAATTAGCAAGAGTTTCCTCTGGCCCTAACACCAGACTTGGACATTTTGACATACAGATGTCTGGTGTGGGGCCAGAGCGTATGAAAACGTGGAATTTTCTGACACCGTTTGGTATCGGAGAGTTATGATGTGCTGACAACAAAAATTTACAACGACACAACACATACTTAACATATATCGATGAATGGATTATTTATTGACCCAAAGCAGCTCTTATTATCATCAAACGCTGCTAAAATCCGTCCTCGATTTTCAATCGTTCAAAATTTCCCACCTGAGCGAACGCCATTTTTGTAGGTCATGGAGTGACTAATCAACAAACCGTGCTAATCCGGACCGAAAACGGACTTGTTTAGAAGATTTCAGGACGCGTCTTTTTGTTGATTAGTCACTCCCCGATACTTAACGGTGTCGGAGAATTCCACGTTTTCATATAGCAGTGCGCTATGGCCCCGACATCTGTATGTCAAAATGTCTAAGTCCGGTGTTAGGGCCAGAGTTCCAATTACTTGACTAACTAGCTAGGAGTTTCTTTATGGTTTTCAAATTCCAACGTTGTAGTGTTTGCTTGTAGTTGAATAGCTTTGAATAACTGTGTTTAGAAATTACTCAACCAACTTAAAAAACGTTAGACCGGCCGCAGCAGTTTGATTCTTATCAGTTTTGTATCAATTGGTTAACTTATTTTGAAAACAAAGGCCAGTGATCAAAAGAATTGTTTGACAAGAACACATACTTAACATTAACATTGTCTAATGTAGCAATCGAAGAAATGTAGAAGCCCCTAGACCCTAACGAACAAAAAACTCTATCCCTTACTCTTAATTTTGGATGGTCGGGTGGCGAAGTGAATAGCGTACACGCCTTTCACGCCAAGATGACCGGTGTTTGATTTCCAGATCGGCCGTGGAAAGGATCAACTGTTTTCTCCAAGTACTTCAGTTTCCGGCTGCCACGTTAAAACCCTCTGCGGTCCTCCATCCAGGCTAACAGGAGTGATTAATTATTTTAAGTTGGAAAAACTTGCTACAGAATTGTTGAAAAATTCATAAAGTTGATATTTCATGAACTTTGAACATAAAACGACATATTCTATTAAACAAAATTCAACGTTTCAATTTTTTATTCAGGATCTTAAACCATGAACGCAATGCAAGTACTTAACCGGGTTAATTGAAGACTCGAGGACATTTATATATGAATGAGGTCGACGAAAATTGTTTGAATTTTTTTATAGCATGAAAATCATTTAATCATTTTTAACTAAGTTTTTGCCTTAGACTCTACATTCTTTTATGTTCATGTGCATCTTGGCATCACAAATGAACCGTCGGTGAGATCATGCTCTGACCGATGCCTTCCTCGCCTCTTTAAAACGGAAACCCACATACGTATATACCCACAAACGGAAACCCGGTAGAAAGGTTGCACATTGTATACTATATGAAGATGTGTATACATATATCCAAGCTATATTATATGGTAAAGCTCGCTGTCAAGATTCATACATGCCAAGCGATCATTTTTTACCAACTCCACAACAAAACATTGATTCGTACTCAAATTCCTGTGGTTTCTTATACATAAAAGAGCACCCTGATAAAAAGTGCTCTGTTACTAATTATTTGGATGGCGTGATGGTAGGGCGTTCATTAATTTTATTAACAATTCAGGTCTAAATTGACAGGGGAGATAACTCGTATATTCTTAAAAACTAAGCTACAAAATATTGTGTAGGAACGTTATTTGACAAGACTCGTGCAGATTTTTTCCTTGAAAAATTAAAAGTACCAGATTTATGCTGAGGAGGCAGTGTCCGGTTTAAAAGTGATAAAAATTATTCTTTTTAAAGTATTAATGATAAAGAAAATAAACTCATATGTGAAGTTTGTAATAAAAATGTCTTGGTAATATTTTTTCAGAAGATAACATTATAAAAGGTGACGATGTGGTTTAACTACAAAACATTTTCCCGAAGATAACAAAAAATGTGACGATGTGGTTTAACTACAGTGCCGAGTGATTTGTCTTCATTGGAGGTCTTTAAAACTTTATGATCAGTCCAAGATACAATTTGTTTGTATTTAACGTTCTAATTTCTTTCTTTCTAATAACCATACAATAGAATGTACCATCTTACTTTAAATGACAACTGAGTCGTCTCTAGCCGCTTTAATCGGCGGTTGTTGAGTCAGTCATTCCAAACACAGGGGCCTGACAAGTTAGCCTTTTTAAAAAAGTATTTTGAAACTTTTGATTTGAAGAAACCGCGTTTTTTTTAATCTTCCTAACATCTTATTGAAACAAAAGGAACATTCCCAAGGGGTGCGCCACACCCCATCCCCTTTTAGCCCCTGACTTTTTTTTTAAACATTTCTGATAAAAAAATACGCGATATTTGTTTTATAACAAGTGTAATACAAGTTTTATCCTACCTAATGGTAGCGCGCAGGTGGTGTTTATGTTGGAGGAAACTTGATTACCCGCAGAAAACACACGTGCATGGGCATCCTGTGACTCAATATTTTCTGATGAGGGAATCGAACCCCTGCCGCTTTGGTGAAAGACGAGTGCACTTTCCACTTTGCAACCCGACCACTCGATTTCCTTGCTATTTATAACGTTGACGCTTTAACTAAAAATCTGCCATATTTAAAACCACAGAAAAGAGTTTTCTTATAGGAAGAATCCAAATAACACAAAAATGGAACGTCATAGTCCGATGACGCCACTCCTTTATTTAGACTACAGTCTTTCACGTAACATTTTCCCCTTCGGGTGCCATGTTCATTTGGTTTTTTTTTCAATGAGTTTCCCCGAGTTTATTTTTCGTCCTATTTGAATACAATTCTGCAAATAACTAAAAAACAGTATCCAGCACTTCTGTTTTGTAATATTGATGTAATTGTCTGTTTCTTAGAATTTTAACCTTGATTTCTTAATCGAAAAAAAGTTTTACGGCAAAATTTTACATGATGTCTTTTGGCATATAAATATAAATTTAAATCAAAATATACCGTGAAGTTACATTAAGTTCGAAAATACACGTTACACAAAAGGTATTCGTCAATGCCAATGAAGCCTACATGTGAACACATACATTATATGTATAGAACAGTAGGCTATTTTCTTTGTTTTTTTGGTTAAAAATGAACGTTAAACGTGTTCAGACATACCAAATGCTGCATCTCAAACGAAATATGGATATATATATCGAAAGTAATCTGATTTGAATGGAATGAAATATCGTTTAAAAAGCGATAAGTATATTTTAAACTGTCCTGATGTCAGATCAATACTTTCAATTGACGATCGTATTTTACTTGCTGCATTCCACAGCGAGCACTTGTTCGATTTTGATCCGTCCGGCTCCGATTTGGTGTTTAGTCACACCGCCTGCAGCGGAGAGCTGGAAAATGGCGGCTCCTCGTTTGTCAATGGTTGTTAGGCGAGGACTTTTCCAATGTCTACCGTCTTCAAGAATTAGTCAAGTGCCAACAAGACATCAGGTGCGTGCAAACTCTACGTTAAAATATGGTTCCGACAGTTGTTTTATTTCTGCATGTCCGGATAAACAGTTACATGCGATAATAATCTGAGTACGAGACCTGCCCACTATCTGACATGGTTATGTACTCAGGGGCTCTGGACTTTCTCAGGGTGTAATAGTTGGTGAAGGCGCATCGTAAATCCAGATACGACACGATACGACGGTAATGCAGTGTCCAACATTTGATTAGTGTCTGTGTGGATGCATATGCATACAGCGTTTATGTCCAGAAAATTTGTTCTGACGTGACGTGGGTAAGACTGCACCATGGTATCTTGTATCATATCGTGCTACTAGTAAAGAAAGGTATTCTGGGTATTTATTAATGCCCTTTTTCGAGTAGTTATTTTTTAAAATTTCTATTACAGTAAATTGAACATATGTATTGAATATGGATAATGTTGAATTGACCGACACTGTATAGTCAATTTTGAAACAAACAAGATACAAAGACACACTTGGGTGTACACATCATTTACTGTGAAGTGTTTGTGTCATGGTAAGGATGTATCAAATGAAAAACACACATAATTTGTATACATCTACAGTACTTGATTAAATTAAAAATATTATACAAATATGAATATATGGGGGGTGATATTTATTTTGACTCTTAACTGTATTAATTCAGGGAAAAACAGGAAGAAAGAGTTTATATTGTGTGTAGACGCTAATATTGATATATTGTGTGTAGACGCTAATATTGATATATTGTGTGTAGACGCTAATATTGACAGGATGCTATTTGTAATGTGAAGAATCCTGTTATAAATTTAGACTAGTGTATGCAAAAGAACAAAAAAATCTTAATTGATAATTTCTTATAATAAAAGTATCATTTCCATTGATTGAAATTTATAGACTGGTTATTCACCATCATTCAGCATGCATACAATTATGGTGACATGAAGACGGCCTAACATGGAAGATTATTAATTAATATCTTTTGGGTATTACAGTGCCAATTCAAGACTCTTTCACTTGTTTTCAGTGACCAATATCTATAAAAACATTGTTGAATTTTCAAAACTTTTTTCAATAAATCTTTTATGATATGTATTAGGAGCTAATACTTTCAGTGGTATTTTATTGGATTTTATAGATAATTGACTAAATATAAAGACAATCTTCTTGAATACATCAAAACTAAGATAATTTTCATTGGATCAGTATATTTTTATAGAAGCATTATATTTACAAGCCATTCTTTTATGTTGTGTATGTGTGAGTGATATATGTGTAAATAGTACACTTTTGTATAGAGCATTGACGATGTTGGATAGACCTAATAGTAATACACACAGTATAGAGCTGATCACTACTGAATGTCATGGCCACTCTCTATGGCGTATGGTAATACTCCCTAACCCTGTGTGAAGATAAAACATGTGGTTGTGTTTCTTATGGTTATTTGATGACTTGATGAAAGTATATCCAGATCTTCAGTGCATCACCATATTATCCTGTCATTGTGAGTGGTATAGATCTTTCTTGGTATCTGAGAGACTTGCTCAAGTCTTTATGTGGTATAGCTTGAATCATGACTTATGACATGACAATGTGTTATTAGGAACTTATTATGGACTTAAGGGATAAATGTTGTTGTAGCATGTTTCTGATTCCCTAAGATAAGTCTACCCCCCACCCCTAAGATGGTTATCCTGAAAATCTATTCTATAAATTTGTTTTAATACACTAATATGAACCACACATATTCCAAGTCACATTTAATCTTTCGCGATCATTTGCACTAATGTTTTGATGGCTTAAACAATCAGATGAGTCAAGATCAAATACATGCTCCACCTTCTTTAAGTTCTTGTTACCTGATTAACTCTGTCACTAACAAAAAAATACAGAAACCGTTAAGTTTTCTCAGATTTTTCGCCCTGTATGGCAGGACTAACTCCCAGAAATAGAGAACTAGCTCTCTATGGACAGTCAGCTGGAGTTGAGGGGGGGGTGGGAGGGGGGTTGGGTTACTACAGTGATGTAGACAACTTAACAGATTGCTTTTATTAAGATTAAATAGAGTATAAGGTAGAACTACTGTAGTATCTTATCAAGTTCCAGAAGGTAAATATCAAGTTTATAAAAATCCAGGAAATAACTTGGTATTGGTTTGTGTTGCTGTTGATTAGATTTGAAATATAGGGTTATTCATAAATAGTTCATGATCTCTATTGGGAAAGGTGATAATGATATTTAGAAATAGTTTATGATGTGCAAAGGCCTCCAAGTATCCAGTTTAAATCTGTTATAGAGAACACTCTTTCTTATGTATCACAGTGTAGTATATATAAATAAATAAATTATGGCATAAATAGAAAAAAAATGTCAAGATGTGTACTACAGAAATAAACAGTGACAAAACTATTGTTTGTACGTGTAAATAATGTATTCATACATATATATCTCAATAGAAAACTTGATCTGAAAAAGTAGAAGTATGCAACATACTTGGGCAGTGACCTGAAACCTGGCACACTGCCAAATGTACTGCTGGTGTGTTTATACACCAGTATCTTATAGTCTCCTACAAACTGGTGAAAGTGGACATGTGAAACAGCTATAGTATCCATCAATCACTGATAGGAGGTTATGTTGTAAGCATTCAGGAAGAGAACCTTATTTTGGTACTATTCCAGAAGTCCTCCAGTGTTTTCATTGATTCAAGCAAAAATACAAAAAAAAAATGCTGAATCCTGTCTGACCACATAGTTGTGTAAAGACTAAATCAGTACATCAAGTGGTGCGTACATGTTTTTTTCTCATGATGTCATTTTATATACCGTCGGAAAGTAATGACTTATCATTAAGGCCATTTTCTTGTGGTATATATATGTCACATAATGTGTACCAGCTATTATTTTGGTTGATTAATAGCAAAGATTATATATTGATGTGGCTGGTTAGGCTTCCCCCATCTCTAGAATATTGAAACACTGTATTAAGTAAAAAAAACTGTTATATTTTTTATCTCTTGGAAGTTGGATGTCTGATTCTAATGTCACAAACTAGGGTGAGATAATAAGTAAGTTGTAAAATGCAGCTGGGAAATTCTTCATAAAAAACTTAGGGACTGGGAACCAATAGTGGAATTTGAATATTTTTAGACTTCAAAAAATATATAAATTGGCAAAGAGGTCAGGTCCAATCAGTACATATGAATCAAAAGTACTGGATACTTACAATACGATCTGGTTGGAAGTTGTTTCTGTAGTCCATTCTAGGAGTTAATAGGTTTCAGTGGTATCATGCTTTTTGTATGAGATTTTTCGCACAGTCACAAGGCACAGGCCCCTGTGGAAAAGAAGTAGAAAAGTCACTGGCTCTGTCTAAGATATACACACATACTGACAAGAAAAATAAAGCGATTCAGAATGTTCGTCAGAGTAGGTTATATTCATTAATATAGTACATACAGAAACATAGCAAAAGCATATGATGTAATATTTATGATATGCTCCAGGTCCTGCAGAGTTGAACTATAAAACAATTGGAAAAGGTCCATAAATTTTACGGTTCTTGTAATGTGGTGTGCTTGTATTACGTAACTTGGAACTGCTAGCCTACAACATCCTCTGTTTTAGGGCTTTCAAAGGTACAGAAATGGATATGTACCTAGAAATCAAAATATGAATTGTACATGTCGTAAATCCTGGTCCTCTGCTATATCATGAAGTATCGCTTAATACATATTCTATTTTAGGACTGTCATGTCTGGTGTAGAATTTTGAACCTGGGTACCCAAAGTTACACAATTTAATATACATTGGGCACACAAATCTAAACTATAAAAGTTATATACACATCATGGTTCTTGTTAATACATGGTGATTAATACAAATTTACAAGACTGTTTATGAAACTGTGAATTTCCATCTTTCCTGTACTATTGCTATTTAAACTAATAGAACAAAAAACTAACATCAGCACTGAAAACTGGTACTGTACTTGTAGGCATGGCAGGTTTTGTCTACTGCACTGGTACTGTACTTGTAGGTATGGCACTGAAGTCTTAAATTGTCTACTGCACTGGTACTGTACTTATAAGTATGGCACTGATCAGGTCTTGTCTACTGCACTCATACTGTACTTGTAGGTATGGCACTGAGGTCTTGTCTACTGCACTGGTACTGTACTTGTACTGTAGGTATGGCAGGTCTTGTCTACTGCACTGGTACTTTTGTCTACTGCACTGGTACTGTACTTGTAGGTATGACAGGTTTTGTGTACTGCACTGTACTTGTAGGTATGGCAGGTCTTATCTACTGCACTGGGACTGTACTTGTAGGTATGGCACTGAGGTCTTGTCTACTGCCCTGGTACTGTACTTGTAGGTATGGGACTGAAGTCTTAAATTGTCTACTGCACTGGTACTGTACTTATAAGTATGGCACTGATCAGGTCTTGTCTACTGCACTCATACTGTACATGTAGGTATGGCACTGAGGTATTGTCTACTGCACTGGTACTGTACTTGTAGGTATGGCAGGTCTTGCCTACTGCCTTGCTACTGTACTTGTAGGTATGGCAGGTCTTGTCTACTGCACTGGGACTGTACTTGTAGGTATGGCACTGAGGTCTTGTCTACTGCCCTGGTACTGTACTTGTAGGTATGGCACTGAGGTCTTTTCTACTGCACTGGTACTGTACTTGTAGGTATGGCACTGAGATCTTGTCCACCGCACTGGTACTGTACTTGTAGGTATAGCACTGAGGTCTTTTCTCCTGCACTGGTACTGTACTTGTAGGTATGGCAGGTTTTGTGTACTGCACTGTACTTGTAGGTATGGCAGGTCTTATCTACTGCACTGGTACTGTACTTGTAGGTATGGCAGGTCTTGCCTACTGCCTTGCTACTGTACTTGTAGGTATGGCAGGTCTTGTCTACTGCACTAGTACTGTATTTGTACTGTAGGTATGGCAGGTCTTGTCTACTGCACTGGTACTTTT